GATTCGAATTTGTTTGGTAATACAACAGAATCCAGACTATCCACACTGTCATTTAGGAACGAACCCACCAAGTGAAGTGATCGCCACTTTGTTCGATTTTATATGTTCTGTATGGATGCTGATCCCAAAGAAGGGATATCGAAGAGGTTATACTTCTTTTTATGATAATACGGTTTCCATACGCCCTCCTCAAAACGTTTATAATACTATTCAGTTCAGTTCTGTTCCTGAGAAATATAACGTGACAGACCGATTGACTTTCCTGTCAATACATATGTAAAAGATTTAAAAAGGATAATGAACAATGCAACCACCTTTCGAGACAAATGTAAGCTACTGTGTCCCCCGAATTCGATAAAAAAACGCTTCAACCTCCAGGGTAATCTCAGCTTACTAACACAAGAACATGGGTTCTGCATGCTTCATCTCCACACGTGCTCGCTCACGATTGGTCAATTGTCTGATTGATTCTGCCGCACTCGAGGTCGGCCACTTGCTGGGGTGTTGACTAAGACACAGTGTCGGCAAGCCGATAATCGATACCGAGGCTCGTCTTCATTTGATTGGCTGTAGGATGGTTTCTCAAGTCCGTGTCACCACTTCCCGGTAGAGATGTCGGTTCGTAGAGCGCTAGTCCCAGAAATTTTACTTCATGTTTGTTTGAACACCAAATAAAACGTGTGCGTTCGAACTTAGGTGAAGTGTTGAAAAATCTGTATTTTGTCACCCCTGGATAACAAAAAAGGGAACATTACAAGTCACTTGGATAGCAAGTGAGTTTTCACAGGAGACTCTGCTGAATCCCTCTTTTATGATAGTTTTTAACTCAGTTTGCTGCACATAGTTTGTACGATGTTCGACATATCGCAGTACATTTTCATAAGGGAAACCTCTCACAAGGTTACTGAAAGCTCTTCGACAGCCACGACCGGTTTCGCCCTTCTTGGGGCTCATCAGGTAGGTTCATTCCCCGAGTTTCCGTCAACCTTATGTTCTACTTGAACCCAAATTGGACTGTTTTCGAGAAATACACTCATTTGCATATCCAGTGGGTCTTCAAGTTAGTAGTTTCCTTTATGAGTTTACAGGAACCCTGCGAGTCGTCTCTTTTCTAAAAATATGTTTTGTGGTCCTCCGAGAGAACATACTTTCTCATGACATACTGACAAGAATTTTGGTCCACAGCAAACACGAATATGCATACAGTCCCCACGCTGAAATGCATTTAGGAGGTAGCTGAATGATCGTTCAGGTTCGACACTAGAAACTGTTAGTGAGTAACTTTGATGTTGGATCGCACCTTCTTGGGGCTCATCAGGTAGGTTCATTCCCCGAGTTTCCGTCAACCTTATGTTCTACTTGAACCCAAATTGGACTGTTTTCGAGAAATACACTCATTTGCATATCCAGTGGGTCTTCAAGTTAGTAGTTTCCTTTATGAGTTTACAGGAACCCTGCGAGTCGTCTCTTTTCTAAAAATATGTTTTGTGGTCCTCCGAGAGAACATACTTTCTCATGACATACTGACAAGAATTTTGGTCCACAGCAAGCACGCTGGAATGCATTTAGGAGGTAGCTGAATGATCTTTCAGGTTCGACACTAGAAACTGTTAGTGAGTAACTTTGATGTTCGTTGGATCGCATTCATAAGATATCGACGGACACACTGCGTCGCTGAGCTGCACAACGAAACCGATTACGTCACTTTAATCAGTGATGGAACCTATTGGTAAAGAGACGCTCGTAGCCAAATCTTCTAGCCAAACGAACAATCCGATGGCGTTCTACCTGGCTACCTACTCTTCCCCCGGTGAGACATATCTTTTGTACGTCCCGTTAACCTGATGAGGGGTTAGTCCCACCCAAAAGGTATGATGCTGTGCTTGTTTTCTGCTCCTAATGGAAGGTGAGACATATCTTTTGTACGTCCCGTTAGCCTGATGAGGGGTTAGTTCCACCCAAAAGGTGCTGTGCTTGTTTTCTGCTCTTACTGGAGCTAATGACTTCATCCGCGGCGTGTGTTGGCAAAAATCTGCCACTGCATGCTTCGGAGTCATCAGCGATGCGTCAGTTGTGTAGGTATCCCAGTCCGGATAATACTGGGGGTGTACAATTTTGATGAGCGAAGTTCCATTCAGCTGCTTGCTCTATCCCCATTGGTGTGGATTAGTCAGGACAATCACAGAATTGCCCAAGCACCAATGATGGGATAGTAATTAGTTAGATGCCGCAATATTTCCGGGTGACATTGTCTACCTGTGAAAATAACTGTGTTGAGCGAATGGACTGCTTTCCCGGTCTTCTATAGGCTTCCATTTAAAGCTTCTAAAGTTGGCTTATTTTCGACAAATCTGTGGGTGTATCCGGAAAAATTAGGGTGGAACGTTATGGCACCGGCAATCCAATAAAACAAGGTAGGATGCCAAGATAACATTTCTCGCTTTATCCAGGCCTAATTTTCATGCGACTTCGACAAAACTTTGTTTCTTCAAAATTGAGTTGTGCGAAAAAAAACTGCGAAAGCGCTGGATCCAATGCGCAAAGAAAGTGCTTGTCAAGAAATACACTCATTTGCGAATCAATTTGGTTTCACGAGAATATCACAAACAAGAGGTTCAGTTGGGTCTCTCGTGAGAACCAAATTGATTTGCAAACTAGTGTGTTTCTTGAAAAAAGTCCAGTATGTTTCAAGTAGATCATCGTGTTGACGGAAACTCGGGGACTGTGCCTACCTGATGAGCGCCAGGAAGGGCAAAACCGGTCGTGGGCTGTCGAACAGTTTTCAGCAAAAGAGTTTTCAGCAACCTTGTGAGTAGTTTCCTTCATGAAAGTGTTTGTCAGTGGCACAAAAGAGGGTCTGAGAACCTCGTCCCAGTAAAGGCGTTTCGACCGAGTGACAGCGTCATTCCAAATTTAACAACAATAAGACACCTCAGGCATGTGTTTTTGCATTCCAGTAGGTCAAAACAGACTGTCTTGACAGCACTTTGTCTTGTCAGTGCAGCAGTGTGATTGAAACTCACCATATGTGCTGGTGTGGTTATTAAGTTTTTAGAAAGAGAAAAGATGAAAGGAGGGTGCTCGGGTGACTGAAAACTGATCGATCGGCGAATTCTTGATAACCCTCTCTGTCTGCCAGTAAATATGCAGGATAAAAAGCTCGATAAATTGCACAAACGGGTGACTTAGTGCGTAGAGTGTTGATCCGACAAAACTATTTTTAAATTAGTTATTTCACCCCTTCATTCGGCATCCTTCGCACATTACTTGTGTAGGTTTGTAGGGGGTTGCGAAACAGCATTGCGGACAAAGAAAGTTTGTTACAAAACGGTCAGCTTTGTTGGAAAACAAATTCTTGTTTGTTGAACTATCTATCCCCTTTGAGAAGTTTCCATCATATTTTCAGGAAACTATACAACGAATGTTTGCCACTGCTCAGCTGTTCCACATACTCATCTCGTTTTAGTCTCCTAGACGTTGTAGTGGCATCCATTTATCAACTATGAAGTGGCCAGGTTAACGAATCCAAACTATTGTTGGCAGTGAGGAGATTTTGGAATTTTTTGGAGAAGCACAGTACAGCTGCTTCATCCTTATTGGGAATCGTCAGCGCATCTCACGAAACTCCTGGGAGTCTCGAACCCGCGGCCCCATGGCTAGTAGTCTGAACACTTAACCATTTGGCTACGGGATGCTGGTCAGCAGTGTGGTTAACTCGCACTCAGACAGGATATAGATCTGCTCATCCTTCAATCACGGGATCCACATCACGCCATCATACGTGTTAAGAGTGGCCCCAAACCAAAGTTTTCCGCTGAGGTATCTAATGTATACAGCTGCATCATTTCATCTAAGAAACAATTGCTTCTTGTAATTGCCAAAAATGACTAAAAAACGAGAGATTCAGCTGAGTCTATCGTGAAAACCAAATTGATTTGCAAATGAGTGTATTTCTCGAAAGCAGTCCAACTCGGGGGGTTCAAGTAGAACATAAGGTTGACGGAAACTTGGGGACTGCGCCTACCTGATGAGCCCGAACGGGAAAGGCGAAACCGGTCGTGAGCTGTCTAAGAGTTTTCAGCAACCTTGTGAGTAGTTTCATTAATGAAGAAAAACACAGTTGTTCAGTGGCATCACCTATGAATCCGTCTTCCGCCCTTCACTAGTTGTTGCCAACCGACTGCCCACCCTTGTGAAACGTTGTGGTATAAACCAGTAGGGGGCCGGGTTGACAAACTGATTCACCTGGAACTCTTTTTTGTTCGACTGAAATTATGTTAATGAGATGCGAAAGAGAAATGTTCCGATTCAGTTTTTTTCTTATCAGTGAAGTTCCTTTCTTTCCGGTTCGCCCTTCCAAGCGATACTTTAAACTCCACCTCAGGTGAGTTAGGTTCAAGAGAGGTATACCTTTAACTGCTTTTCGCAAAATAATTTGATCACTGATTTGGGATTTATTTTCAAGTTTTGGACACTGGTTATCTGGTTATACGTGGCCCTCAAATGCCATATCTGATTTCCTGATCCCTTATGTTTTTTTTCAAGCGCTGTCGCCGTGGGATGAGAAACCATTTTCGAGTAATCGCTTTCGATTGGATTACGTCTTTGCAGGCCAAAATCTGGTCTAGTTTAGGCTCCACCATTCTCCGACTGATTAAAGTGAGCGGGATAGTATTCCACTGATGAGCACCACTCATAACCGATAGTACGATTTTCAAATAAACCCGTACGCACTTACCACTCATGGAAATATATAGCGTTCACGGAAACGCCCAATTTGATTTGGTTTCGTATGCTTACTGCACTTTGGATGATCGTTGGGCACATTTTTCGATAAGATACTGAAACTCCTGGACAGCCCACGATCAGTTTCCTCCCTTTCAGAGCTCAGTAGGTAAGCCTAGTCCCCTAATATCCACTGTTATTCTTCTTACTATCTGTATTATTATTACCATAACTGCAAGTGACTGTCTCACAACCGCAATTCCTCTTTCTCACAGCCGTTACCGTTTCTGACTCCAACGAAGATTGGAGTGGACTGGGTTTCGGCCTGACCGTCGCCAATCATCTACGTACCGGTCGTGATTGGCCAGAAACAACCCTGTTCCCACGCGTTGCCTATTGCCGAGTCCGAGGAATCCGATTGGTTGGCGTGGAGAACGCCTACACAGCCCAATGCGCTCTACCAGTCAATATGCTGAACGAAAAGATTTACATTTTCTTCTGGTTCTGGCTCGTTGTCTTGATCTCAGCCAGCGTAACAAGTCTCGTTCTGTGGCTCATTCGAGTGGTATTCACTCCTCGGAGAAAACATTTTATCAAAAGGTTTTTGAGAATCAAAATTGCAATGGTCAGAAATAAGCCGAGGACCGTAAGTCGCGCGGATATCGATGAATTTGTGGACGATTACCTACGTCGTGATGGAGTCTTTCTCATCAGAATGTTGGCTCTGAACGCCGGCGAAGTGATCACTGCCGAAATTGTCACCGAGCTATACAATGACTATTTGGAACAACACTCACAAGCAAGCAGTTTTGGGACAAATGACAGAGCACCGATAGCAACGAAGGAATTGGTGTGAACTACGCCGTTTGCATACCAGATAAAACCCAGATGTAGAGTAATGGCTAGCGACAAGTGAGAACAATGTTATGTGCCATGCTTCGTGGACTGTAAGCACCACTTTTCTGGTGTTTTTTGACGTATCATCTCTTCTTTCATATATAGACTGTGCTGTTAGAAATTTGTCCTATAAAATGTCGTTTTAGGCGGAAAAGAACTGTGACTTCTGCACATACTTTTCACTGATGCGGCCTGTCTTGTTTTCAGTTCAGGCAAGAGAATCCCTCTGAATGTGGTGACTGGCCGCCACAAGTGATGGAGAGGAGCAATAAAAACACAGCATTAGACAGCAACCTTGCAACTGGCTGGAATCTAACCAATGTTAGAGCATCCCCAGTCGATGTTACATAGAATCACTCACAAAGTTAAGTTGTGCTCATTCGAGAGCCCCCTCTCATCTCCGCCGTGTTCCTAACTGAATTATGGTCAATTCTAGTTATCCACATGAGTGTCCTTGATGGCGCTGAATATCGATCCGTCGTAGAATCCATGGGTTTAGATGTAGCCACTATAATCCAACACTGGGCATACTGAGGGCTTTGGAAGTGCATCTTCAAAGGTTCTAAACCGGTATGCCAATGGTTCTAAACATTACTCAATACAAGAAGTATGTAGGGGTCCCTACTCTGTACGAAATTCCCTCGGAAAATGCCGGTGCGGTACAACAACCTGGGATATCGATCATGCTAATGATGGAGTGGCGTACTTAAGCACATGTCAGGCACAGAATGTCTGGCCTGCTTGCTCGATGTTCTGCAGCGTCCTTAGCAAAAGACAGGGGGTGTAGAACTAGCTCTGTCAATTGGACCGCAACAAATCATGCAAGGAACACCACTAAGACATCATTTTTTTGAAAGCTAAGGCCAAAACCAGGCAATTACGCACCAAATTACAGACTAACCACGAAGTCAAACGAATGTATTGCTAATACTTCGCAAAAAACATCGTTAGGCAAGATTATCAAACTTTTTCCATAAGCTAAACAAGCCTTGCCTCCACATGGCAACCAAGCCTTTGTTCACTTGTTTTCGACAGCCCTATTGATGTGTTTTGTGTATGCGTCTGAAAAGTCTTTGCCTTTTTCTGGCTCAGTTATTTTGGTTAGTCCACCCTGTTGTAACTAACTTCTGTCCCCCGCTCCGGTGTCGGAAGAGATTCGCCAACAAAGAACACAACAGCCTCATTGGGAACAACTGAGTGCAGAAATTACAAGGAGCTTCGTGGTACTTAGAGCACACCTTTGACCTTGAATCTAGGTTGCCCCGTCGGCATTGAGTGAAAATGCATCATCGCCGGTCGTTGCTTCTACGACCTGCCTGAACATTCATCATCATCATCGACAGAATGACATCAGTGTCCGACGCCGATGCTTCACTGCCGTACAACCATGATTTACTTGAAAGCCTTAAGGTGGATGAGGAAGGGACTTAGTGCTAGCTTACTACAATCATTCCGAGGTGCCTACACCTCCAGACATTCACTCTGGTGATCTGGATAGAAACTGACAACAAGAACGCCACTGACATCGGTTGGCAGGCATATCTTGTAGTGTCTCCAACCAGCTACAGTGGGGATCTCGTGGTTCCCATTCTGGAAGGCGAGTAGCACCGACAGCACCCAAGCGTTTCGTGATCTCCTTCATACTCCTTTGCCAAGTCAAGGGTTGGCCACTTCTCTGTTTACGCCACTCTGAGTTGGGCATGGAAAACAGCACTCTCTTCGACAAACGATGGTTCGGCATACGCAACACATGTCCCAACCAACGCAGCTTCTGGTGGTGGACACAATCTTCAATGGAAGTACCCGTTGCACAACCGAAAATGCGCTTTCAATCTATCTCGCTTTGGATTCGCTGACACCAACCCACACGAACTATGATTCTGAGACAACGATTGTCGAACACCTTAAGAGACGTTCATCGTGAGCTGTCACTGAATCGATTGACTATTTGAATGTCCAATTGGCAGCTGTCTTTTCTGGCCCAGATGGTCGACGGCTCCTCTACTGCGATTTCGGTGGGGTTTGAGGGTCTCGTTGAGTTCTGAACATTCTAGGATCATCTTGACCGTCCCGACAACGCCAGAGCACGGGAACACTGAACTCAGGTTTCACTTTCACCGGAGGACATCAACAGTACATAGTATTGAACATGAGTCTGGATTTAAGCCCCAGACAGTTGACGTGCGAAAACAGTGTGTGACCGATACTCATCTTTAGATTTATCATGATGAACGTGTTTACATCTTCGCTCCTATCTTAGTGGTATGACAATGAAGTGTCTTCAACCCGATTACTTCAGTGGAGCTCGTTGTCTTCAGAGTGTTTTGGGATTAGAAAAAAGAGGATTCGAAATTTGTACTTTTCGTTTTTATTGAGGAGGGTGAAATTGGGGCATGTCATTAATAAGTTGCATGAAAAGGTCCGATTTTCGGTACCTTTGCCTCCAAACTAACTCACACAAGTAGCTGACCACTAAAGATCGGTGTATGCCGCATCGGCGTTTATTCTGCATCTTGTAGACGTACCAAAGTGATTTGATGGTTTGTGTGTGAGCTCCGGTCTTTGGATCCACAAAGTTTTCGGTATGGTTAACCGTTTCATGAGTACAATTCATGTCAATCATCGTTTCACTTCCTTGATATGATCCCCACGTATCGGAGATGATGACTGAGCCGGGAGCGATGCAGGCCTGGATGTGTCCATCAAAGTGGCCGCAGTTCGATCTGGCATTGCATACATGAAAACCTCTTTAGTTTCCCAGTATATCCCCTTTCGAAGACCGATTTCTTGCCGACATTGTCGGGCATTACAACTTTATCTGTCAGAAACAGTTGAAAGTGTCATTTGGTTGCCATTGTTGCATAAACGTTGCTCATGGATCACTCTAAGGCTTTGCAAAAAACGTATTGTTGTCATCAACGAGAGTTGAAAGCATCAGAAAGCTCATTTAAGGTTTTGCGTCCGAACGGAGAAAAGTTTTGCACAAAATGAGCCTAGATGCGGATAAGAAATTGTTTTTTCATCAAAACTACGTCAAGGTTGTGTGCGTACATTAAATTGCAGCTGGCAAAAAGTGGGGCGGGGCTTAACTTCTCGCACATGTACATTTCCATTAGTGGCGGGGCCTATCTGGAAAAGATCCTGTTTTTGGGTAGAGATTTTCAATAGAGAAAAACACGATGTGTAACACAAAATATGACAATAGCCAAGTCTGAACACATTCACACATATTTTGAATGCAATTATCTACTACAGAGATTGTTTACATGTGTCGGCTGCGCTGAGGGGCAGTTCGCACTGCCTCACTCCGAAAAGCCCAGGAAAGCAGCGAGCCTGATTGTGACTGGTGTGGGCCAATCAACATCAAGGCGTAGGTGGAGGACTGTTCAACCAAGTGTTGCGAACACCAACACATATTGATTCTTAAGTCATATTTGTTAGAGCAGCCCACATGTCCAGAAATCGGTTTTCATCAATTCGTGCGTGTTTCAAATCTGGCACATGAGAGACACGACCAATTAATTTGCATGGCGGGAACGCTTGAACTGCAACCCACAAACCTGAAGGGCTGTTTATCGCAGTGATTTGAAATGTTTATCATTGAAGAAGTCAACGAAATTCAATTTTGCAACAGTGATCAAATATGGACCGAGCAAACATCACTTTTCAAGTCAATTTGCAACTTTTTGGAGTTGTGATGAGACATTGTCCTGATAACCTCCAGATATTATTGTCACACAATGTCATGGGTGTTGCTTCCCGTCAAAAGTATGAAAATGCACACAGTGAACACAGTACACTAAGAAGCCGGCTCAAGTGGGCGTCAAGGTGCGTGATACTTCCTTTGTGGCGAACCCCTCCCCATAGAGGACACCATCGCGAAAAAGCCCATTTTGTTTTTTCGATGTAATTTCCCCCAAGGAAATTAGCCCTACAGGACCGAACTTTTTTCACCCCATGTCTGTTTTAGCAGGTTATGATACAGAAGAGAGCCAGAGGAGACTTCTGGTGGTCAACCGAGGCCTGAACTGTATGTGTTGTTGTCATGGGCTTTTGAAAGCTCGCTTATTTGGGCATCTGCTGGCGCTCAACCACTCTTGGTCATGGAACAATCACTATGTTCGTAGTGACTGTCGACTATGTCACTCACCAAAGTGCCCAAAAGATTGGGAGTGAAGGAGGCCCTTTTATATAGTGGCTATTCGGAAGAACATCAGGGGCTCGTCAATTTAATGTGATGTTTGGCGGCCATCGATCTGAGGTCTGTAATGTGCTAGTTTAAAAGTATAAAATGAAACAACATGAGCATTGTGGAATTTGAAAGAATGAAAGCATGGTTACTATACATGACAACAAACAGTAGAAAGTACACATGAAGACCTATAGATGAGCATGGCGTTCGCTGGAATACTTTTGTGCAAGCAGGCGGTACGATTGAGCCATGAGCCTGACTAACAACACCTCGCTGCGGTCAAAAGTTATGCGGTAAACGGGCTACCTAGAACGGTTGCTTGAAAAGCAGACGGTAGTTCATTCCGAAATGCTTCAGTACCAGCATGAAAGGCGATACGCACAAGTCGTATTGAAAGGTGCTCTGAAAACACTGCCTCTGTTGAAGACGCCAGGTTTTGAAAAGCGGCAATCGAATGTCTTCGTGTGTACGGTGTGATTTTTTACTTCCAGACTCTGTTCGCTTGACACTCACATGCCGTATGCGTCTGTCATCGGTGTACCAACGGCACCATATCCACGTCCAGAGCTACCGCCTAACATGTGCGACTAAGACCCTCAATCCTGCCATTCATGGAGCACGAGAGACAGACCTACGTCAGACCGCTCCTGGAGTACGCTAACCAAGTTGTCTACTCAGGACGCACGAAAGACGTCACCCTCATTGAGCGTATCCAGCGGGCCGCTACGAGAATGGTCGCCAGCCTCAAATCCGTGCACTACGAAACGCGTCTCGCGATGCTTGATCTCTTTCCCCTGGAGTACCGTCGCCTCCGAGGGGACCTAATTCTTACTTATACCCTGGTTGAACAAAGCTCGGCAAACAGGTTTTTCACCGTTGACCCATCAACCACCCGGAGGGAACGTAGTAAGAAAAATTTCCAGCTCAAAGCACACACATTCATTAGACAAAGTTTTTTCTCATTTCGGGTAGTAGCTGCGTGGAATGACCTCCCTC